GTGTTTGGCCAAGATACTTGGACACCCTCATTCCAGCTGCTACCTGCTCCTCATTAGGGCATTGCACAACCCTAGCCAGCTGCCCGGTAGCAAACGCGACGTCCGGTCGGGTGTTTACCGCCGCATACATGAGGCTGCCCACCAACGAGTGAAATCGGCGCCTCTCCTCTTCTCCAACGCTCTCCTCCTCTGGCCCCTTCACACACTTGAACCCAGAGGGAAAGGGAGTAGCCACATGACCTTCACTCTGGCCGAAGTTGGCAGCCAACGCCTCCAGGTACTTCCGTTGGTGCACTCGCATGCTCCGCTTCTCCACGTCTCATTCGATGTGGAGCCCAAGGTAGAAGTTCACGTCACCAAGGGACTTGCACTTGAACTTGTCATGCAGCTTCAGCATCACCTCCTTCACAAGGTCAGAGGAGGGTGAGAATATGAGAATGTCATCCACATAAACCACCATGAAGCTCCTCTACTCCCCCTCGCCAAGCATGAACAAGGAGTGATCGGCCGTTGAGGGAGTGAAGCCGATCTCCTCCAACACTTCGCGCAGCTTCATGTACCATTGCCTAGGGGCCTGCTTCAGCCCATAGAGGGCCTTCTTCAGCTTCCACACTCTGCCACTACCATCATCAAACCCCTCTGGCTGTGCCATAAAAATCTCCTCCTCAAGGATGCCGTTAAGGAATGCCGTCACAATGTCCATTTGCTTCACCACCCATCCTTTGATGGCGGCTCCCGCGAATAGGGTTCGCAGCGTCGTCGGCTTCACCACAGGGGCAAACAGCTCCTTGAAGTCCACCTTCTCCTTCTGCTGGTACCCCTTGGCTACAAGCCTAGACTTGTAACGCTCGATCTTGCCGTCGGCATCCGACTTGATTTTGAAGAGCCACTTGGACGTTATCGCCGTACGCCCCTCCGGTAGCTCCACCAATTCAAACGTGTCATTCTCCTCGATGCTCTTCAGCTCACTCTCCAAAGCCTTCTTCCACTCCTCAGCATCACTACTCTCCAAAGCCTCCTTGAGAGTTGCTGGTTCTCCCGGCATCTCCACCGGAGAGAAGAACGCGAAGGCACACTCCTCGTAGTCACTCTCCTCATCGTCTCCGACCATCATTGCCGCTCCGGCCAGGGCTGTCTTGCCTTGCTTTCCAAGTGCATCATAGGTCAGCCTATTAGGGGGTTGAACTCTCCTCTTCCCCCTTCCTTCCTCCTCAGCTGCAGCGACTTGAAGGCCTTGGCGTTGCTGCGGTGTGGCTCGATTCCGTGGAGAACTCGTGGTACGGGAAGGGAGTGACGGTGCACGCTCACTCACTTGCTGCACCTCCTCATCTTCTTCCTCTGCATCAGTGGCCTCCTCTCCCCCTTTCACAAGGGAGGATTGCCTCGTGGTTGTGCTGCCACTGCTCAGCTCCAAAGGCAGCTCCACATGCTCCAAACCGGAACTCTTCACCTCCCCAAACCGCACGCCTATCTTTGCCTCATTCTCCGCCTTCCAATCCTTGTACATGAAGTTCTCCATGAACTTGCAGTCCCTGCTCACCAAGAACTTCTTGGTGAATGGGTCCCAAAGAAGCCATCCCTTGCTGTTTTGAGCCATGCCCAAGTGCACGGCCCACACCGCCTTGGCACCAAGCTTGTTGTGCCGAAGATGCTTAGGCACAAGCGCCATGCACATGCACCCGAACACCCGAAGCATATCCACCTTTGGCTTCCTTCCTAGCCACTCCACATAGGGCACCCATTTGTCTGCTCCCACATGAGTCAAGGCTCTGTTCTTGGCCACACATGCGCTCCGCACCGCATCAGGCCAGAAATAGTCGGGTAGCCCGGCTTCAATGAGCAACCCGCGTGCCGCCTCCGTGATTGTGCGGTTCGCTCGCTCAGCGATGCCGTTCATTGCAGGGGAGTATGGCATGGTGAGGGAGTGTCGAATACCATTCTTCTTCAGCCACAACCCAAACTCCTTGCTCAGGAACTCTCCCCCTCGATCGGTGCGGATTGACTTGACTAGACGGTCTTGTTGCCGCTCCACCATCGGGAACCAATCCGCCTTCAACGTTTCAGCCACGTCGCTCTTCTTGGCCAGCACGTACACCCAAGTCATACGGGTGTAGACGTCAACAATAGTGAGGAAGTACTCAGCTCCAGCAGCTCCAAGCTTCAGGGGGCCCACCACGTCCATCACCACCTCATCAAGTGGTGCCTTAGCCGTTGCCTCCGAACTAGAGAATGGGAAACGGGTGAACTTGGCTTGCATGCACGTCGGGCAGCCAAGTACCTCATCGGGCTCCCCCTTCACACGTATGCCAGCAACCATCTCATTCTTCACTAGCTGCTGCAAGATGGGCAGGGCCACATGCCCCATGCGCCGATGCAAGGTGAGCCAATCACACTCCCCCGTAGCCGAAGTTGGATTGGAGAATGCCGCGCTCGCAATAGCGCCCCACATACTCTCTCCGTAGTCCTCCTCCGCTGTTGCCTCGGGGTTCTCCTCACCCTTTTGCTGCTCCTTGGTTGCTGCACCACTCTCCTTAGGTTCACTGAACTTGCTGGTCCCTCCAAGATTGCACTTCTTGGACTCCTTCTCCTTAGCGCGACCGTCCGCGCAATCGCCGCTACCAACCGCTCCACCTTTAGTGCTGACGCTTGCTGCCACTTGCCTCTCCTTAGGCATTGGGACCACAGGGATCTGCCACATCTCGTTGTAGACATCTCTGTCCTCATGAAGGTCCCAAAGAATCCGATCGCCAAGCCTTGCGGTGTAGGTCTTGGCTCCCTTCGAGTTAGTGTCCATGCCGGCCTTTGCCAACCGCCGCACGGAAATCAGGTTTGCAGCAAGGCTGGGCACCCAAAGCACGTTCTTGAGGCCCACCATCTTCCCATCAGCACCCTTGAACATGGCCTTCCCCATGCCTTTCACCTCTGCTCGCTGCCCCAAAGCCGATGTGACATGCTTCACCGGTGACGGCTCGAGTTCGGTGAGCAAGTCCGGGCGAGGTGTCATGCTATAGGTAGCGCCACTATCAATCACCCAATAGTCCAGGGGGTGTAGGGTCACCTTCCCCACAGCTGCTGGCTCCTCAAAGCCTTCATCCTTCTCTGGACCAGCCGGTACTTGCGTCGACACGAAGTAGAATAGACCCGGGTATCGATCGTCGCTCGGGTCCTTGTCGTTGTCTCCGCTCTTCATGTTTGCAGCTCCGCCACCGCGACCGCCACGGCCTCCACGGCCTCTTCCTCTCCCTCCTCCTGCTCCTCTACCCTCTTGGCCTTGAGCAGGGGTCCAACCATCAGGGAGTTTGTAGCAGTCGCGCCACATGTGTCCGCTCTTGTGGCAATAGTGACACTCGCCGTCGAATCGGCCGCGACCGCGTCCGTAGTTCTTCTCGTCGCTGCCGTAACCGCCACTCCCACGGCCTCCGCCGAAGTTGCTGCCACCAAACCTTCCTCCCCCTCGTCCTCTGCCTCTTCCTCGACCATATCCACGGCCGATGCTCGCTGCCCCAGCGCCATCCGCACTCGCCAATTCACGGCGGCGGAAATCCTCTTGAAGGATAGCTCGCTTCACGTCTTCAAGCGAGAGGCGGGGCAAGTCACGATTAAGGTTGATGATGAGCGAGGACCATGACTCCGGGAGTAGGGCCAGCAACTTGGTCTTCTTTTGGAGCTCACTATAGTTCAAATCAGCTCCCTCAAGCCGCGTCAACAAGTCGAAGAATTTCTGCACCCCTTCTTCAACCGCTTCATCCTCTTCAATTCGTAACGTCGCCATTTGCCGTTCCAACACCACAGCTACCGCCGCTGTTGCAGAAACGTGTACACCCTTGAGAGCAGCCCATGCTTTTGGTCCCTTCTCTGGTTCACGCTGGAAGGGCTTGATGTGACGGATTTGGCTGCTCCCCAACGCTTGCCCAAGTAGGAGGTAGCCTTGTGCGCTCTTCCGCACCCACGGGCTCTTCTCCGGGTCGTTCTCGGGACGCTTCTCCGTTCCTTCCATCACCTCCAGCAGGTCATAGTGGTCAAATATGTTCTCCATTCTGAAGGACCACTCAGCAAAGTTGTCACCATTGAACTTGTCAAGGCCAAACACTCTAGGCTCATCCCTAGATGGGCCAACACTTGGTTGCACGGGCGCCATGGCTGAGTCACGGGGTTGGCCTTGAGCTTGGGCTTCTCCTCTGCCACCAGCACCTCTGCCACCCCTTTCCTCAGGTCCAGCCATTGTCGAAACTGCTCCGAGGGGCTCTGATACCACTTGTTATAGACACAGTAGGCTCCAATGTGCCTAAAACGAAAGATAGAGTGCACAGTCGGATTTCTGCACAGCGGCTTCAAACGTTCATAGCGTTTTGGTCACAGCTTCAAATGACTTGATTCAACTTGGATCTGGAGCGCCTTATTGTCGCCTACAATAGGCAATTTAGATCGCACGATTTGACCAAGTATTGACGACACAGGGTTGGTTTGAACAAACGGCACTATGGCAGCCACTATGGTCTTAGAACACAAGATAGGAAGAGTTAAGAAGAGTTACGAGTTGGGAATGACTCCCAGCTCCTACAAACCCCAAGAGCCGAGGTACAGTGATGTGGAACAGTGCCACACTGTCCCCAACCACGAAGGGTCTCGAAACTACCCTTCACTAGGGCCTACACCAAGTGAAATGTTACACTACACAAAGTAATGTAACTATCTTCAATATCTTGAGGTGTACCCTTTTGGCGAGCTTTGAAATCACTTGTGGATTGACACCAAGGCTCGGCTCTTCATCACAAACTCATCCTTGAGTTCTTGATGGGTCTGCTGCACACACCTGCGACACACCGAACGTTCGACACAGGACAAAAGAGAAACCGCGCACGACAAAATAGAAACCGCGCGCGAGACACAAACGACCACGTAACACGCGTCTAGCGATAACTCGCTATTGACTCGACACATACACTCGACATCATGACTCAACATTCACACACAATTATAAGCATTAAATATATATTATCTCATGCCCTCATACCATTCCATAGACACACACACATGCACGCACACGGACAACAAGCCGAGTGCAAACCATAGGGTTGCACCAACACCCCACCCCCTCCGCCGGCTCCACCGCCACCTCCACCACCCCCGCCAGCTCCTCCAGCGCCCTTGCCCCCCTTGCCCTTGCCTGTGCAGTGCTTCCCCGAAGGGGCAGACGCAGCGCCGACCGACTCGAAACCAACGAGGTCGGCCGCAGCAGCAGAAGCAACAGAGGGCAAGAGGAGGGAGGGAGAACACCCCTCAAAGACGGGGGTGCGGGGGTCACCACGAGAGCCTCCTACAGCGACTATGCTCTTCTCTGCTTCTAGGAGGGCCTTCTCGAGGAGGTCAACGGTGAGAGTGGTGGGGCAAACAGAGAGAAAGTGGTCCTTGAATACTCGGAGGGAGTCAGGGAGACGGGCGACTATGTAGTAGAGGGTGATGTATATGGGGGGGGGGTTCTTGGCGCAGAGTTCAGCAGGAAGCACAGCGCGGTAGCGAGTGTCACTAGTGCGGAGGTGCGTAATGAGGTCAGTGACTGTGGGAAAGGCAGCAAGGTCAGGGAAGAGGTACGGTAGCACGAGGCGGCTCAGTGCGGCAGTGGCAGGGGAGGAGTAGCGCGCAACTACAGCGTCGTACAAGGTCTGAGCACTCTTGTACTGGCTAAAGTGCGCACGCTCAGAGGTAGGCAGGTGGCGACACACAGCAAGACGTGCAGCGGCATCGCGCGTGGCCCACTGTGAGCGAACAGTGGCGTCAGCATCAGCAGCGGGGGCAGGAGAGGCACCAGAAGTGAGGTCAAAGAGGGAGAGGCCGTCTGCCCTATCGTACTGTAAGAAAAGCTGCTGGTCATTTACCTAGACATCAAAGTCAATGGCCCTACCCTCAGCGTCAAAAGCGAGGACACTAGGGGTAGCCATGACAGCAGTAGACTAGCAGCATGAACAGTAGGGTAAAGGTAGTGCAGGGGTAGAGGCGCTGCTCTTACCAGACAGGGCGGCTCGGGTGACTCGGCGGTGCGGGCGGCTTGGCTGCAGGGCGGCTCGGGGGCTCGGCTGCTGGGCGGCTCGGCGGCTCGGCTGCTCGGCTGCTGGGCGGCTCGGCGGCTCTGCTGCTTGGCGGCTCGGCGGCCCGGCGGCTGAGCTGCTCGGCTGCTAGGCGGCTTGGCGGCTCTGCTGCTGGGCGGCTCGGCTGCTCGGCTGCTGGGCGGCTCGGCGGCTCGGTTGCTGGGCGGCTCGGTGGCCCGGCGGCTCGGTTGCTGGGCGGCTCGGCGGCGGCGGCTCCTGACTTAGGGACGGCGGTGGGGCCGTGAGGAGGCCGTAGAAGGTGGCTCGAGGGGCCAGGTGGAGCGGCGGCGAGGCCAGGTGGAGCGGCGGCGAGGCCAGGTGGAGCGGCGGCGGGGCCGGGAAGGCGGCGTCGGGGCCGCAGGAGTAGGCGCCGGGGCCAGTCGAGGTGGCGTTGGGGCCGGGAAGGGCGGCGTCGATGCCGCTAGGGCGGCTCACGGTGGGCCGACGGGCGGCTTGAAGGGCCGCAAGGGCGGCACGCAGGGTCGAGGGGCGGCGCAAGAGGTCGCTAGGGCGGCGCGCGGGGTCGGTGGGGCTGCTGTAAGAGGCGGCGACGAGGCCGCTGTGAGAGGCGGCAACAGGCCGTAAGGGGAGGCGGCGACGCCATTGAAGGGGTGGCGACGAGGCCGTAGGTGGAGGGCGGCGACGGGCCGCTGAGGGCGGTACAACGGGGCCGCAAAGGAGGCGGCGCGACGGGGCCGCAGAAGGGCGGCGCGACGGGCCAGAAGGGCGGCGCGACGGGCCGTAAGGGCAGCGCGACGGGCCGTAAGGGCGGCGCGACGGGCCGTGAGAGGGCCGCTAAGGGCAACGCGACGGGGCCGTGAGGGGCCTAGCGAGGGCGCGACGGTAGGGAGAGCACACGGAGCGCGACTCGGGCCTGAGCGGAGCGCGTTCCGGGCAGGAAAAAAAAAATTCGTAGTGGTGGGCCCTAGGAATCGTTCCCGCTAGGGAACCTGCTCGATACCATGAGAAGAAACAAGGAATGAATGAACTATGAAAGAGTTGGGTACAAGTACTAACCCTAATTGGGTTGTACCCCTTATGGGCTACCCCACTATAGCCTACACAAAATGCATAAGCTATGATGTTCTGACAAGATTAAGATCGACAGAAGTAAACGTGAGAAATGGCCCAAGCATATAGCGTTTTGGTGTGCGTTTCCAGGATTTTTATTGGCTGACAAAATTTCCAGTAGCGTCGGTTTCGATACGCACTTAACAGTAATAGCTGTACATACTAGAGCGCATAGATTTTCATACCAGTAAAAAAGTAACAAATGTTGCATACAGAATAAAAAACAGTTGTATCTACTCAATCGCACAAGACATACTAATCCAAAACTGACAAACAAAGCGAACCCAAGTAGTAAAAACAGGAATGTAACGTGTTGCTCCTGTTTATTGAGATTGCATGCGAGATAGGATAGGAAGTAAGAGCTCGTGAAAAACGCAATGTATGCACTTCCGTACTCACCTGAATTAATCGTTGATGGTTTGGAAAAATGCTTTTATGGCTAAAATAAAACAAACTGCGCATGTGGTGTCAGAATATATTTGCTGTCTAGCCTGCAGTGGGGTACTCTGTAATGAGTACAACCCAATTTAGGGCAATGTACTTGTATCCCAACTCTTGCTAGTCACTTCACTTCCCTTCCAATTTCTCGACTCTCACCTAACCCACTCGAACTTACCTATCTCCTAGTGTGGGCCTAGGCTACTAAGCCTAGGCCCCACACCTAATATTTTCACATGTGGTTGACGGTAAGCTTGCAAAACCAGGTCCACCCTGCAAAACATTCAAACACAGGGTGCTGTTTTGCATCCCCTGACTTCGCAACAGCGGGGTTAGTAAAGGCAGATTTTGTAATACACCAAAAGTCAAATACTTAGCCTTAGCAATCGTCGCGTGGCCACATGGCAAAAAACTGATGATATCGCGTCGCTACTTGCGTGCATGCCCAAAGCGAGAAGGCTGACACCCTAGACCAAATCCGTTGACTTGGTATGTTGTTTCGACTGCCTTAGTCGCAACATATCGATCTTCGCGACGATGGCTGCTACGCACGAAACGAAGATAGGAAACGTCACATTGAGAGGAGTATGAACATGAAGATACCTCCAGATTAAAACTGCACGATAAAATAACATAAGGACAGCTTCACCTGCAAGATGAGAACGATAAACGTACCTGCGATATTGCGTGACAATGTCTTTCCTCGCCGTGACGCATAAGTTACCTAGCAGCCAGCGCAGCTACTGCAGCGCGACGTTGATGGCGGAAGGAAGCTGCCGTATGAAAAGGGGAGAGTTGTGCAAAAGGGACAGTGTTGAAAAATAAATTAGGATACTGATATGGCGAACGCAACATAGTCAGGACGTTCTAAAACATAACATAGTTATCGTCTTGAAGGTACTTGGAGCTTGCATCTGGTGAACCTCAAAGGGAAAAAAACAATAAGTGGGGGGGGGGGGGGGGAGAAAAAGGTTGGTTGTGTGTAATAGTACTGGGACTACATGCGTAGAGGGGAATCGTGGGAGAAAGATTCTCGTGGGAAGGTGAGGGCATTTTCGTTGGACGTTTGGTTTGCCTAGGTTGGGTTGGCTGACGTGTATATTTCGGCGTGTGCGGATTGGATGAAAATGATTTTTAGGGTCACACGTCACACCACTGAAGAAGCCTTCCACTGTCTGAGGGGTTTTGAGTTGAGCACGCACTGTTACTGAACTTCTTCGCTCCCAGCGTAGCTACAGCGCTTCTGGCGCACTGTTACTGCTCTATTTTTGCTCACAACGCAGAATTGGCTCCTTTCAACGCAGTTTTGATTTCATTGGTCCACACATGGCACATAACTACAAACCGAACCTGTGGATACTGTTGTCAGAACATTATAGCTTACTTATTTGTGTAGGCTATAGTGGGGTATCCCATAGGGGGTACAACACAATTAGGGTTTCCTATTTGTACTCACTTCGTTCATAGTCAATTCATTCTCGTTCTTTCTTTCACATGGAATCAGAGCAGGTTCCCTCCTAGGGACTGCTTCTAAGGCCCACCGAAAAGCTCCCCGAGGCGCGTTTTCCTTTTTTTTTAGCGACCCGTTGTGTCGCCCCCAGCGGCCCGTCGCGCCGCCCTTCCCTTAGCGGCCTCGCCGCCCTTCGATCGCGGCTCCGCCGCGCTTCCTTAGCGGCCCCGCCGCCCTTCGATCGCGGCCCCGCCGCCCTTCGATCGCGGCTCCGCCGCCCTTCCTTAGCGGCCCCGCTGCCCTCTGCTAAGCGGCCCCGCCGCCCTTCGATCGCGGCCCCGCCGCCCTCTGCTAAGCGGCCCCGCCGCCCTTCGATTGCGGCCCCGCCGCCCTCTGCTAAGCGGCCCCGCCGCCTTGCTCACGCGGCCCTGCCGCCCTCTGCTACGCGGCCTCGCCGCCGCTTCGCCCGTGCACCTGCCCATGCACCCACCCGTGCACCTACCCGTACGGCCGCCAGTGCAGCCGCCTGTGCCCAGCCGCCCGTGCAGCCGCCCGCGAGCCGTCCCAGCCGCCCGTGCGGCCGCCCGTGAGTCGCCCGCGAGACGCCCGCGCCGCCCGAGCCGCCCGAGCCGCCCGCGAGACGCCCGCGCCGCCCGAGCCGCCCGAGCCGCCCGAGCCGCCCGAGCCGCCCGTGCCGCCCCAGCCGCCCGAGGAACCGATCTTCTACTCCTGTGGGGCTCCTACTGCTCCTGGGCCGGCGCAGCTGCTGTGCTGCCGTGTTGCTGTGTCGCTGTGCTACCCGACTCTTCCTGCCCGGTGAGACTGTCAGCTGCTACAATGGCCACCCCCAGTGTCCTGACTTTTGACGCTGAGGGTCGCGCCATTGACTTTGCAGTCTGGATTGAGGACCTGCAGCTGTACTTACTGTGCGATGCGATCGATGAGGTTTCTCTCTTTGACTTTGTCTCTGGCGCTGTCCCTGCCCCTCCTGCTGATGCTGACCCCACTGTTCGCTCCAAGTGGGCCACACGCGATGCTGCTGCACGTCTTGCTGTGCGTTGCCACCTCTCTTCCTCCGAGCGTGCACACTTTAGTCAGTGCAAGACCGCTCAGGCCTTGTACGACGCTGTAGTTGCGCGCTACTCCTCCCCTTCCACTGCTACACTGAGCCGCCTCATGCTACCGTACCTCTTCCCTGACCTTGCTGCCTTTCCCACAGTCACTGACCTCTTTACCCACCTTCGCGCTAGTGACACTCGCTACCGAGCTGCGCTTCCTGCTGCCTTCCTCGCCGAAAACCCCCCTCCCATGTACATCACCCTCTACTTTCTAGTCACCCGTCTCCCTGAGTCCCTTCGTGCTGTTAGGGACCAGTTTCTCTCTGTCTGTCCCACCACCCTCACTGTCGACCTCCTTGAGAAGTCCCTGCTAGCGGCCGAGAAGAGCATAGTCGCTGTAGGGGCCTCTCGTGGTGACCCGCGCACCCCCATCTTTGAGGGGTGTTCTCCTTCCCCCCTGCTACCCTCTGTCGCCTCTGCTGCTGCGGTCGACCTCGTTGGTTTAGAGTCGGTCGGTGCGGCGTCTGCCCCCAGCGGTAGGCGCCGCTCTGGCAGGAGCAAAGGGGGCAAGGGCGCGGGTGGAGCTAGCGGAGGCGGTGGCGGAGGAGGTGGAGGCGGCGGGGGGAGTGGGGGTGGCGGTGGGGGTGGAGGAGGGGGTGGAGGTCCTGGTGGCGGCGGTGGAGGCGGAGGTGGCGGCGGAGGTGGTGGCGGAGGAGGCAGTGGGAGCGGCGGGGGCGAGGGTGGCGGTGGCGGCGGTGGCGGCGGAGGCGGGGGTGGCGGTGGTGGAGGTGGTCAGAGTGGCTCGTCCCAGAGGAGCGGCACTGGGGGTGGTCATCGCCAGGAGCAGCAGCAGCAGCAGCAGCAGCAGCAGCGCTCTCGCGTCCCCGCCCCTCAGCAGCTCCGTGAGTGGTACTCGCAGCGTCAGCGTGGTGGGGCGTTCGGTCCCTGCGCCTACGTCCTTCGCACCGGCGACCGCGCGGGTGAGCAGTGTGGGGGCACCCACACCGCTCGCCGCTGCTTTGCCCGCCTGACCGACGCTTGGCGCCAGCAGTTTCCGGAGGCCTCTGAGATCCCCCGCTGGGGAGAGCTGTCTAGGGCTGGTGTAGCTGTGTTTGATCTTGACTTTGATGCTATCCTTGCTGCCATGTATGCTGTGAGTGTTAGTGATGATAGTGAGTGTTACCGGTGCTTTCCGCCCGACCCGGGCATTGGTACTGCTGTGTCACGTGCCAGTGAGGCTGCTGCTCTAGGTGCCAGTGCGTCTGTGCTCTCAGGTGCTAGTGAGTCTGCCCTCTCAGTAACTGTGTCGGCTTCTGCCTCCCACACCTTCACCCTTGACTCTGGGCCGTCTCGCTCCTTCTTTCGGGACCGCACCACTCTCACGCCGCTTAGTCGGCCGGTTGCGGTGTCCCTGGCTGACCCCTCTGGGGGTCCTGTCCTGTCTCGTTTCTCCACAGTCCTCCCGTGTCCGGCGGCTCCCTCTAGCACCCTGACTGGTCTTTACCTCCCCTTGTTCTCTACGAACCTGGTGAGTGGTGCTGACCTACAGGATGTGGGGGTCCACCAGTTCACTCCTGCTCGTCAGCGGGTGACACACTGCACAGAGGCTAGCACAGGTCGCCACCTGGCTACGTTTAGACGTCAGCCAGGGTCGAGCCTGTACACACTGACCACTGCTTCTCCTCCCGGTGCTGAGTCTGGTAGAGTCCCTTCGTCTGGTCAGGTGTTTGCTGCAGCGTCCAGGTCTGGTCCTGAGTCTGCCCCCTGTTCATGTCGCCGTCTGTCTCACGAGACTCTCCTCTGGCACCACCGCCTTGGCCACCCCTCTCTGCTTCGGCTCAGAGGCATGGCCTCCCGTCTTCTTGTGTCTGGTCTCCCCCGGTCCCTCCCTCCCCTTCCTCAGGGCCCTGGCCCTGCCTGTGTCCCCTGTGTCGAGGGGCGCCTGCGTGCTGCCCCTCACTCCTCCCAGTTTCCTCCGACAGAGGCTCCGTTGCAGACACTTCACATGGACGTGTGGGGCCCTGCCCGCGTCCGTGGACTCGGTCACGAGCGCTACTTCCTGTTGGTGGTTGACGACTACTCGCATTACACCACAGTCTTCCCCTTGCGCAGCAAGGGTGATGTCACTGAGGTGCTGATCGACTGGATCCGCGCAGCTCGTCTCCAGCTCAGGCAGAGCTTTGGCTCGGACTTTCCTGTTCTGCGTCTGCACTCGGACAGAGGCGGA